TGTATGCGTTCGGCGGTGCTCGATCGCAATTCGCACTTCCATCTGCTGCCGGCGATTGAGGGCCCTTTTGTGCCGCCGTCTTAGAAAATTGTGTGTGTGTCTGTGTGTATGAGTGTGTGTGTGTGCGTGTCTGTGTGTACGTGTGCGCGTGCGTGTTTATGTGTGTGTGCCCATGTTTCGCCTGGTGCCCTCCCGTTGGCCCCTCGTGGGCGCCCTGCGCTGGGGGACGTGCCGAGGTTTTGCATGGTTCCCGTTCGTGGGCGCCCCGGTACCTTTCCAGCGCGTAGATTTTCCTTTCTAAAAGAAGAATCGATCATTGTTCCCTATTAGTATGCACCCCCTCCCCCAGGCGACTGGGAGCCAACCAGGGACAATGCGAGCCCCCCCCCGCCATTTTTTGAAACAAAATACAGAATACACTCTGCATCCAAATTCGGAGCATGCGCAGCGAACCCGACGCGGCCTTCCCCCACCATCCCTGCCAAGAAAAGAGTAAAACAATACACTTGGCGGCGGCGGCGGCCGCGGCGGCTGCGGCGGGGGCAGCGGCTGCGGCGGCTGCGGCGGTGGCGGCGGCGGTGGCGGCTGCGGCGGCCGGGGCGGCGGCGGCGGCGGCGGTGGCGGCGGCGGCGGCGGCAGCAGTGGCGGCAGCGGCTGCGGCGGCGGCGGACGGCACCGGCGGACAGCGGCGGCGGCGGCGGCGGACAGCGGCGGCGGCGGGCGGCGGCGGCGGCGGCGGAGGCAGCGGCGGCGGCGGCGGATTGGCCCCAAGTAGCTGCCCATCCAAAGACGACTGCTGAATATGTTGCGGCTCGGGCCAGGCTCGGGTGCTACGTATGTGTTGGAAGGGCAGGTGGGAGTGAGCGAGACGGCTTGCGGGCGGGGAGGGGGTCTTGACTCTACCCCCCCCGGGAGTGAACGGTCCCCCTTTTCCGTATTGCAATGTACGTATGATTTTGCCCCATCGTCCATCCTAAACATGAGCTCGTATTATCCCAGCCTAACCGGTATCACTCCCCCCCGCCATCCTCTGCAAAAGCTACGATGCGCGCGCCCGTTTACCAGCAATCACAAATTCCCAAAAATCCCTTGCGAGAAAAACCACCACGTCATCACGCGCGCGTCCGTGCCAACATCGTACCAAACACTGTGGTTGCAAACGTTGCAGCAAACAGAGCTAAGCAACCTAAGGGGTTTTGCAACAACAGATGTGCATGTCCTGTCCGCGCGTTCATGCTAAAATCATGCAAGAGCCATGGTGCTTGTATGAATTCTGCCAAATCCAGCGATATCATGTCACCGTGCGGTGCACCCGCGATACTCCTGTCATGCGCCGAGAGCGCGAATCCTTTACAACATATACCACGCGGGCCACATGCGCGCACCGCCGCACGCGCATGATCAGTCTGACGGACTTGTTGAACTTCCGCGCGCGCGGATTTCCTTCTCAACCTTGTCAGCATCACCGCGATCACCTGCTTCATCGACAGATTGACATCAGCATCGTCAACGTGTTTGCCATCATTGGTGCCGTTATCGTTCGTGCCGTCGCCCTCTTGAACATCGTCTTCGCGGGTGCCATCTTCGTCATAGTCGCAGACGTTGCCGACGACATCTTGTCATCGCGCACGTCTGGGTACCGTCGATATGCCCAAGTTCACCATCGACTCTGGGTGACGAGCGCCGGCAGTGAGGATGTTATCATAGATGTCGTCATCGGTGGCGCCGTCGCCCCCCGCATCATGAGTTTTGCCAAACAAGTTGCGGGTGGGAGGGTAGGATGTTTGCGCGAGCGGTGGAGGTGGTCAAGCGCGGTGCAGGATCGTCAATTGCACTTCGTAGACTGCGCGACCCAGCGAGCACCACATGGTTTGCACCAGATACTTGGTTCACACCGCAGCTTGCACTGCGTAGATCGCACCACGCGTACTGCGCAACGCCGATTGTTCCATATTGCTCGCGCCACGAACGTGCGCCACACAGCTTACATCATACAGCTTGCACCCGGAATGTCGCGCCACATAGCTTGCACCGCGTAGATTGCACCACGTAGCTTGGACCACACAGCTTTCACTCAGAACTTACACTTCAGCCCGGAGTCGTTGGGCGTTTCTTCCGAGGGCCATGGCCCCCCAGGACGGGCCAGGACGGTTCCAGGAAGTGCCCTTGACGGTCCAGGAGAGTTTCGACGCGGCCGCGGAACGTTCCAGGACGGCCCAAGATGATTTCAAAATGGCCCCAGAGGGGGTGCCAAACGCCGCAAGGCGCTTCCACAGGGCCCCCAAGAGGACCAGCGAGAGACAACAAACATTGTTTGTTTCGGTTTCTTTCGATTTTATCATTGTCGCATCCTCCGCCCACCGACTTGCCGTAAACGGGCCAATATGGCCCCAGGAGGTCCCCCAGACGCTGCAAGACGGCTCCCAGGGCATTCCAAAACCCCCTAAAATGGCTTCAAGACGGCCCCCGGGCTTCCGAAAACACTTCAAGACGCTCCCAGAAGGCCCCCCTAAGAGGGCCGTGAGAGGCACAAGCCAACATTTTCCCTTTGGTGCCGTTGGATGTAATCAGTCTCGCTTCTTTGGCCCACTGACTTACCGAGACGGTCCAGGGTTCCTCGCATGCGGCTCCAAGGCTGCAGCAGATCACCCCCGTAACCCCCTAAGGCAGCCCAGAAGTGGCCCAAGGCGGCCCAAGAAGTTCTTCAAGAGAGCCCCAGAAACCCCCAAAGGGGTTTCACGAAGAGCCAAGGAGCAACTCCAGCACCGACATCCCAGGCCCTCTCCCCTTATTTTGGACCACGGGAGCCTCCGAAGGGTTCGAGGGCCTCTCTGGACTTTTCCAGGACACCCCGAGAGGACCCCCAGAAACTTCAAAAGAAGCATGCAAGAGTCCCCCGTCAGCCGTCCCAAGAGGTTCCACGAGTATTTTCCAGAGGTGCGATAGCCTCAATACACCTTGAAGGCTTCTCGAGAGAGCTCGGGAGGCCTTCCGTAAGGCTACAAAGAGGCCGACGACGGCCGCCGTTTCCATTTTGGCTCAGGTCTTCTCTGAAGCACACTCGTACTGACATGCGTTCGCTGCGTTGCCTCCGCCAGCGCACAGCGCCGCTCTGCCCCTGCGGCCCTCCAGCGACATGATGCGCGGCGCCCGGCTGCTCGCCCCCGCCTGCTGCGGGCTGGCGGCCCTGGCGCTCCGCACCGAGGTGGAGAGTTCCCCCGACCCCTTCTCCGCGGAACAGCGCCTGGGCGAGCTCGCGGAGCGCCATGCCGCCGCGCTCTCGTGGCCGGGCCTGCCGCCTCCGCCACTGCGGCAGACTTGCTGGGCGATGCGGGGAGGCCGAGCAGCAAGCCGCTGACGTACTGGGGGTGCGACGAGCTCCCGTTCCGGATGGCCATGCCGCCGCACGCGGCCACCTGCACCGTGTCGCAGGCGCTGATATGGACGATCAGGGAGTCTGGCATGAGGTGCACGCGCGGCGGCAAGCCGCTCAAGAACGCCGGGCAGAGTCACGACCACGGTGACCTTGCGCAGAAAGTCATGAACCGCATAGGCTGGAGCAAGTTCAACTCCTCGGTCTCCTGGGTGTTCGGCAAGGACCCGTGGAGCCGAATCGTGTCCGCCGCCGCTTGGATGGGCGGCTTCAACGCTACTGAGATGCCAGATGAGCAGATTCGGGCCTTCCGCAGTTACCTGTACACGAAATTGCCCGAGCAGGGCACGCCATCCACGGTAGGCGTGTTCAACTACTTGCATTCTATCTCAGACTATGCCTACGCCGTCCCTCCAGGCAGGACAGAGGAAAAGCAGGTGGTCACCTACGTGGGCAGCGTCAAGGACATATCTCGGAGCTTCAAGCATGTCTGCGAACTCCTTGGCGTCCGGAGGGAGCATTGTGTTGACCCCAACGACCCCAGGGTCGGCCAGCACAAGATTTCGTCGGGCGGGTTGAAGGTGTCGGCAGACGGAAAACAGCTTCCGACGCACCGCGTGCGCACCGTCGACCTGTTCGACGACGAGCTTCGCGGGCGCGTCGCAAGGATCTGGGCGAAAGACATCGAGAGGTTCGGGTTCGTCTGCGGAGAACTGTGAACGCCTTGCTCTGGCTGGACAGCGCGGCAGCGCACGATGCTTTCTGATTATCATATTTTCAAGTTGGCTTTCCCCGTATAAGGTCTTTCGATGCGTTCGCTTGCGGCGGCTGTTGTCGCTAGGTTATGTCATCCCTTTTGTTTCCGCTGTCACCCACGCATGCTTTTGTTACCGAGCTTCCTGGCTTTGATCTGGGCAGAAAATTCCGACGACGGCGTCTGGAGGAGCCCAAGACGGCCCAAGAGGGGCCCAAGACGACCCGAGAGGACCCCGACAAGACTCCAGAGGACCCCATACGTCCCAAGAGTGCCCCATGAGGGACCCAAGACGGCCCGGTAGGGCCCAAGGAGATCCCCAGAGCTGCCCCAGGGAGGCCCCCAAGAGAGTTCCGCCTCCAAGCAGGCCATTCCTGCCCCATGCGCCCAGACCCCTTCCCAGAGCTACAAACGGCCCGCAACTGTTGAAAGGGCAACACATCGGATCCCCTGGTTCTTCTGCCCTTGCCTCGCGCCCCTTCCTGCCTCCAACTCCACTTCGCCTCCCGCTCTCCTCCCCCCTTGGCACTTTTCAGGCTCGAGCTGCTCGAGCTGATTTGTCTTCGCACCCCTTTTTCGGTCCAGTCCCACGACATCCAACGATGTGCGTGTGTGTGTGTGTGTGTGGTTTGTTTCAGTGCCCAATCACTGAGGTCTCGACCGCGTCCAGTGGGCGCTTTTCTGTTGTCCCGCCGCGGGCCCCTTTTTGATCGCCGTGGGGCCCGGATGGCGGGCCCGGGGGACCGAGCCTGAGAAACGACGCGGGGCTGGACCGGAGCACCTCGGATCGGAGATCCGGGCCCCCGGCACCCGGGCCGGCATATGCGCGTCTCGGTGGTGACGTGTGGCGGGCGCGAGCTCGCGGCCGTGGAGGCCTTGGGGGCCGTCGGGCGAGGAAGTCCGTGCAGACGTCCGCTGCTCCCCGGCCAGGCCCACCCCGAGCCCAGCAGCGGTGTGCACGCCCCGCCCTGGGTCGGCCAGGAGGGCGCGGCGCGCACGCCGCGGCTGGGCTCGGGGCGGGCCTGGCCGGGGAGCAGCGGACGTGCGCACAGAGTTCGTCGCCCCAGGTCGGGGGGGCCGTCCGCCCGGCGGCGAGGGTCAGGGCCGCCGGCATGTCCAGAGCCGGTCTGCTCCCAGAGCTGCGACTCCAGAACCATGTGCGCTCTTCAGATTTTGAGTAGGCGGTGCTGGTGTTCTCTACATCGTTCGAGCCGTAGGCAAGCTGCGGAGCTGGGAAGCAGACTGTTCGAATGGAACTGATCACGAGCACCAAGGGGGGGGGGGGCAGGTGGTCCGAGGGGGGAAGCGTCGACCCCCGACGGCCCGCCCCCCGCTCGCCCGTTCGTCGCCGCTCGGGGCCCGGGTGCCCCGCCTGCCCAGGAGCGCTGGGCTGCCCACTCGGGGGCCCATCGCCGATCCATCGGCGAGGCGTCGTCGGTTTCGAGCCACCGGATCCCTCCCACTCGGGCCCCGTCACAGGGGCAGCCTGTGGTGCGGACCGCGGACTCCTCTCCGCTGAGGGGGAGGGTGGCTTCACTATGCAGCGCACCACCGATCGGAGAAGAAACATCGGAACAAAAACTTCCGAAGATCCGCGCAGATTTCCTGGATCGGCACTGGGCCCACTTGGCGGCACCTCTGGCGCCGCCCCTGGTTCGCTCCGCAGGTCAGGGAGGGGGATCCAGCAGCGATCCGAGAAATCCAAGCGGATCTGGGAAAGTTGATCCTGATACCGATTCATTTGTTCCCAATCGTATTTTGTTGTTGGGCCCTCGTTAAGAAGAGACAGTGCCCCGCATCTCCTTCCTCCTCAATCCCCCTTTCTCTCCTTCTTCCCATCCCTGCCTCTGCCCTCCGCGTGTCAACAATTTCGGTACACCCGTCACACGGTTCGTGGCCCTAGAGGCATTTTTGGTGACGTTCACATGCGTCCGCGCCATCCCGTAGAGCGTTTCGTGGCCCCACAGGGAGCGCCACCGAAGGACCAAGTGGCCGCGCTCGCATGTATCCGCGCCAACCAGTAGAGCGTTTCGTGGCTCCTGAGAAGGCTCCATCAAAGGCCCCAGAAGGCGACGTTCGCATGCGTCTGCGCCATCCAGTATGGCGCTTCGTGGCCCCATAGGGGGCTCCCCCGAAGACCCCAAGAGGCGACGTTCGCATGCGTCCGCGTCATCCAGTACAGCGGATCGTGGCCCCACGGGAAGCTCATTCGAAAGGCCCCAAGAGGCGACGTTCGCATGCGTCCGTGCCACCCAGTCCAGCGCCTCGTGGCCCCATAGAGGACTCCCCCGGATGCTCCAGAGGCGACGGCTGGCATGCGCCACCTCCGCCCAGCACAGCGCTTCGTGGCCCCATTGGTACCTCCACCGAAGGCCCCACGAAGCGACGTGCGCGTGCGCCCGCGCCAACCAGAACGCCGCTTCGTGGGCTCATAAAGAGCTGCGCTGAATGCCCCAGAGGCGACCGTCATATGCGCCTGCGACACCCAGTACAGCGCTTTGTGGCCGCAATGGAGCTCCACCCAAGGCCCCAGGAGGCGACGCTCGCATGCGTCCGCGCCACCCAGTACAGCGTTTCGTGGCACCATTGGGAGCTCCCCCGAAGGCCCCAAGAGGCTACGCTCGCATGTTCTCTTCCCTCACCCAGTCCAGCGCCTCGTGGCCCCATACAGGAGCTCCACCGAAGGCCCCAAAAAGGCGACGTTCGCACGCGTCCGTGCCACCCACTACAACGCTTCGTGGCCCAATAGGGAGCTCCCCCTCGAAGGTCTCAGAGATGTCGTTCGCATGTGCCCGCGCCTCCCAGTACAGGGTTTCTCCATTGGGAGCTCCCCCCGAAGGCCCCAAGAGGCGACGCTCGCATGCGCCCGGGACACCCAGCCCAGCGCTTCGTGACCCCATAGGGAGCTCCGCCGAACGCTCCAATGGCCGTGGCCGCATGCGTCTCGCCCGCCGAGCACAGCGTCTCGTGGCCCTATAGGGAGCTCCCCCTCGAAGGTCTCAAAGGCGACCTTCTCATGCGCCGGCGCCACCCAGTACAGGGCTTCGAGGCCCCATTGGGAGCTCCCCCCGAATGCCCCAACAGGCGACATTCGCATGCGCCCGCGACACCCAGTACAGCGCTTCGTATCCCCGTAGGTAGATCCACCGAAAGCTCCAATGGCCGCGGCCGTATGTGGATCGCACACCAAGTACAGCGCTTCGTGGCCCCATCAAGAACCCCCGCCCGAAGCCCCATAGCGACGTTCGTAAGCGCCCACGACACCCAGCCCAGGCTTCGAGACCCCATAGGGAGTTGCACCGAACGCTCTGGTGGCCGCGGCCGCAACTCGGCCACCGATTGCAACGTTCCGTGGCCCCATAAGGAACCCCCCCTCGAAGGCACCAGAGGTGGCATTGTATGCGCCCGCGACACCAGGCACAGCGCTTCGTGACCCGATAGGCCCGACAGGGAGCTCCACCGAACGCTCCAGTGGCTGCGGCCGCACGCGCATCGCCAGCCAAATACAACGCTTCGTGGCACCATAGTGAACTTCCCCCCCGAAGGCCCCAGAGGCGACGTTCGCATGCGCCCGCGACACCCGATTCAGCGCTGTGTGTCCCCATAAGGAACCCCACCGAACGCTCCAGTGGCCGCGGCCGTATGCGTCTCGCCCGCCAAATACAGCTTTTCGTGATTCCCATAGGGAGCTCCCATCGAAGGCCCGAGAGGTGACGTTCGTATGCGTCCGCGCCAGTCAATACAGCGCTTCGTGACCCAATGGGGAGCTCCAGCGAACGCTCCAATGGCCGCGCCCGCCTGCGTCTCGCCAGCCACATACAGCGTTTCGTGGCCCCTTAAAGAGCCCCCCCATCGAATACCCCACAAGCGAGGTTCGCATGCGCCCGCGACATTCAATACATCGTTTCGTGACCCCATACGAAGCCCCACCGAAAGGTTCAGTGGCTGCGGCCGCATGAATCTCACCCACCAAGCGCACAGCTTTGTGGCCCCATTAGGAGCTCCCTCCCCCCGAAGGCATCAGAGGCGACGTTCGTATGCCCCCGCGACACCCAGTACAGCGCTTCGTGACCCCGTAGGCAGATCCACCGAAAGCTCCAATGGCCGCGGCCGCATGCGGATCGCCCACCAAGTACACCGCACCGCTTCGTAGCCCCATATGGAACTCCTCCCCACCAAAGGCCCCTGAGGCGACGTTCGCACGCGTCGGCAACACCCAGTACTTCTCTGCGTGACCCCATAGGGAGCTCTAGCGAGTGACCTAAAGACGACGTTCGCATGCGCCCCTGCCACCCAGTACATCGTATCGTGGCCTCACATGGAGCCACCCCCCGAAGGCCCAAGAGGCGACTTTGGTATGCGCCCCCAGCACCCAGTCCAGCGCTTCATGTCCCCACAGGGAGGAGCCCCACCGAACGTTCCAGTGGCCGCGGACGCATGGGTCTCGCCCGCAAGTGCATCGTTTCGTGGCCTCCCCAGAGGCGGCATTCGCATGCGCCCGCGGCACCCATTACAGGGTTTCGTGACCCCAGATGAAAATCCGTCGATCGCTCCAGCGGCCGCGGCCGCATGCACACCGCCAGCCAAATACATCGCTTCGTGGCCCCATAATGAGCTCTCCCCCCGAAGGCCCCCAACACGACATGCGCATGCGTCCGCGACAACCAATACAACGCTTCGTGACCCCATAGAAGCTCCACCGAACGCTCCAGGGGCCGCGGCTGCATGCGTTTTCGCCCACATAGTACAGCGCTTCGTGGCCCCAGCGGCGACGGCCGCATGCGCCTGCAACACCATGCACATCGTTTCGTGACCCGAGTTTGGAGACCCCCCCACCCGAAGGCTCCAGAGGCGACGTTCGTATGCGTTCGCACCACCCGGTACAGCGCTTTGTGACCTCATAGTTCCACCGAACGCTCCAGTGGCCGCGGCCGCATGCGTCTCGCCCAGATCGCCTCATAGGGAACTCCCATCGAAGGCCCTAGAGGTGACGTTGGTGTGCGTCTGCGGCACCCAGTACAGCGCTTCGTGACCCCATGGGGAGCCCCTCCGAACCTTTCAGTGGCCGCGGCCGCATGAGTCCCGCCCACAAGTACAGCGTTTCGTGGCACCACAGAGGGCTCCCCCCCCCTCGAAGGCCCCCAAAACGACGTTCGTATGCGCCCGCGACAACCAACACAGCGCTGCGTGACCCCATTGGCCCATTGGGAGCTCAGCCGAACGCCCAGTGGCGGCGGCCGTATGCGTCTCGCCCACAAACTACAGCGTCCCGTGGCCCCACAGGGAACTCCCCCCCGAAGGCCTCAGAGGCGACGTTCGTATGCGCCCGCGACTCCCAGTACAGCGCTTCGTGACCCAATGGGGAGCTCCAACGAACGTTCCAGTGACCGCGGCCGCATGCGTCTCGCCCGCCAAGTACAGCGCTTCGTGGTCCCATAGAGAGCTCCCCCCATCGAAGGCCCCAGAGGCGACGTTCGTATGCGTCCGCGGCAACCAGGACATCGTTGCGAATCCCCAAAGAGACGTTTCACCAACCAACGCTCCAGTGGCCGCGGCCGCATGCGCTTTCGCCCACATCGTGCAGCGCATCGTGTCTCCATCGGGAGATCCCGTGCGAAGGCCCCAGAGGCGACGTTCGTACGCGTCCGCGACACCCAGTACCGCGCGCTTCGTGACCCCGTAGGGGGGCCCCACCGAACGCTTCAATGGCCGCGGCCGCATGCGCCCCCCCGCAGTGCAGCGTTTCTTAGCCCCACAGCGAGCTCCACCGAACATCCCAGTGGCCGCGGCCACATGCGCCTCGCCCACCCTTTACAGGACGCCCCATCACGCGCTTCGTGGCCCCATAGTGAGCTCCATCCGAAGCGGTACCC